TCTGAGACTCCTACCATGTGACTGCTGGCCTACTTGGTTATGTCCCACCGGTCTCTTCAGTTGTAATCACTTTTCTTCAGTTTTTTGTCATTCTGTTGCTCATATTCAAGAACTTTCATTACCTTATTTCATATTCAGTGATTCTTCTGTTTGCTCACATTTACCTGTGAATCCCTCTATTGAATCTTTTATTTCAGTGATTGTAATTTTAAGTTTCAGAATTTCTTTTTGCCCATTTTTTAAAGGTTTTCTATATCTTTATAGGTATTTCCATTTTCTTCATACAGTTTTCTTCAGTTTCTCCAATTCTTCCTTCAGTTATTTGAGCAATATTAAGATAGTTGTTTGAAAGTGCTTATCAGTATATCTGCCCTCAGCTCTTTTTCAGGGACAGTTTCTATTGATTTAATTTTTCCTTTCAATGCACCATACTTTCTTATTTCTTTACATGCCTCATGATATTTTTGCTGACAGTTGGACATTTGAATATAAGAAGTGTTTACTGTGGTGGAACTAGTGGTAAAGAACCTGCCCGCCAACACAGGAAATGTAAGAGATGTAGGTTCCATCTGTGGGCTGAGAAGATCCCCTGGAGAAAGGCATGGCAAACCACTCCAGTACTCTTGCCTGGAGAATCCCATGGACAGAGGAGCCTGGCGAGCTACAATCCATTGAGTCACAAAGAGTCAGATATGACTGAAGTGACTTAACACAGCACATGGAAATCAGATTTTTTCTCAATCACAGGGTTTACTGTGACTGATTCTTTGTTATTATTATCAAGATGTGTCCTTGATCAAACTTAGATCAAACAAAGATCAAACTGAGATAAATTTCAGGTAGCCTCTGGTATTTTCTAAGCCTGCATCTTTCCCTGAACATGCTTGAAAATGTTACTCACTCATTCGTGTCCAACTCTTTATGACCCAATGGACCATAGCCCTTTAGGCTCCTCTGTCCTTGGAATTCTCCAGGCAAGAATACTAGAGTGGGTTGCCATTTCCTTTTCCAGGGGATCTTCCCAACCCAGGGATTGAACACTGGTCTTCTGCATTGCAAGCAGATTTTTTACCGTCTAAGCCACCAACATGCATGGTCACTTTCTAATATGTCCATTATATGGAGTTGTTTTTGATTGTCCCAGTGTTAATATCTGGCCAGGTTCTGCTTGTGGTAAAGAACCTGCCTGCCAATGCAGGAAGCATAAGAGACATGGGAAGATCCCCTGGAGGAGGGCATGGCAATATACTCTAGTATTTTGGCTGGAGAATCCCATAGACTGTGGAGCCTGGAGGGCTACCATCCATAGGGTCACAGAGTTGCATATGACCAACCTAGATAGCATATTAAAAAGCAGAGACATTACTTTGTCAACAAAGGTCTCTCTAGTCAAGGCTATGGTTTTTCCAGTAGTCATGTATGGATATGAAAGTTGGACTATAAAGAAAGCTGAGTGCTGAAGAATCGATGCTTTTGAACTATGGTGTTGGAGAAGACTCTTGAGAGTCCCTTGGACTGCAAGGAGCTCCAACCAGTCCATCCTAAAAGAGATCAGTCCTGGCTGTTCATTGGAAGGACTGATGTTGAAGCTGAAACTCCAATACTTTGGCCACCTGATGCGAAGAGCTGACTCATTATAAAAGACCCTGATTCTGGGAAAGATTGAGGGCAGGAGGAGAAAGGGACGACAGAGTATGAGATGGTTTGATGGCATCACTGACTCAATGGACATGAGTTTGGGTAAACTACGGGAGTTGGTGATGGACAGGGAGGCCTGGCGTGCTGTGGTTCACGGGGTTGCAGAGTCGGACACGACTGAGCGACTGAACTGAAGTGAATGAGCACCCACTGCAAAGGGATTTTAAAAAAAAAGAAAGAAAGAAAGAAAAGAAAAGGAAGGCATTAAAGGATGCCAGTTAATTAAATCCCAGGATTTCACAACAATTGTGGGAGTTTAACAACAATCGCCACTGCCTCTTTATATCTTCACCTCTGTGATCAAAAGCCTCAGTCAAGGATTAGTGCACAGATCCTTGATTTCTTAATAACAAAGCCTTTTTTTCCTATCCTGGATTTTTATGTGCCACTTATGCCAGAAACGTGTGTATAGCTGCCTTCCTCAGATGTGAAGGGTGATAGGTAGTTGCTTCTGTACACGTACAACATAAATTGATCAGTGTTAACCAAGATTTACCTTCCATGTCTTTGTCTAGAAGTTGCAAGCATTCAGTAGACCTGGAAGTTCCAAGATAGTTACATAAGACAGATCCTGCTAGTGCAGTTGTGGTGTAGGTGTGGAGACAAATGCCCCTTGCTTCCGCCTCTGCTGTCTTCCCCAAGTACTCTCTTGTGTGAGTGTCTAAGTGTCACAGAACCTTAAAAGCTATAAACAAGAAAAAGTAATTTAGAAAAGGCTGAGTCTTAAGACACTAGTCCTCTGCCAGATGGAGCTTGTATATATGAATATATTTGATAATCCATATTTAGGACAGATCCAAATAATCAGTAAGTTAGAAAAGAGTTGATATCCTGACAATGGTAGAATGGGGTTAGTTATCGTTATCCTGCATAAAATTGGAGAAATTATTGTATTGGTTAACTGGGACTATGCAAGTATTTCACAGTTAATACCATATTCTTTATCTTCCAAAAATACTTGAGGTGAAGTGGGTGGAGACAGACTGCAAGACACAGAAGAAGAGTGGATTAGTCTGGCAGGAGTCTTCTGTTGATGAAGGGCAATTGAGATACCAAGTTAATGATATCTTTGGTACATAAGCAGCCAATGAGGGAAATTATAATGTTAAGGTGAATCAAAGCCTACATGTATACATAAGTTATAGAGCTATTTCTCTACACATTCCAATGTTTCTTGAAGCTAAACTATGAAAAGAGAAACTTAGAAAGAATTGACTACTTAACGGATGTGTATGTGTATTTGTCACCTGTGTCCGACTCTTTGCAACCCCATGGACTGGGGCCTGCCGGGATCCTCTGTCCATGGAATTCTCCAGACAAGAATACTGGAGTGGGTTGCCATACCCTTCTCCAGGTACTTAACAGATACGGAATATAAATCTTGGTAAAGTTATTAATCCTGAATTTTTCATATGTGGTCCTATGCCAAAATAGACATTAAAAAAAAAGTTAAAATAGTGTAGGTGCTGACCTTGTTAGGAAAAAATAAATTCATATGAAATATGATTGTTTTCTCTTTTAAAAGTATTTAATCCAGCTCAACAGTGAATTCAGAAGCATAAGTTAATATACATAAAAATGCTGTACGGTCTAAACAGGAGCTAACAAACTGTCAGAATATCTTGGCATCTGAACTAGTGAAAATCTCTGCAGATTTTTATTGCATTTTTTTCTTCCAAATAGTTCTAGAATTATTCTTCAGAGTACCTCAAAGTATCTAAATATGCAATGTTAATATTTTTCTGCTAATCTGCACTACAAATAAGAACACATGTATCATTAGTGGAGTTAATATATCATAAAACACAGAGATTAAGATTTGTTAATTCTGAGAGATCATCCAGCATATACAGTTGACTCTATAGATAAGAAGATTATCATAGGGAATAAATAACTTGTTTAGATTAGTAACAGTAACTGGACAAGAACTAAAATATAATTCTCCATTTGAAAATATTTTTATCTACATAAATACTATAGAGAGAATTTGTGTTAAATAGTTCATTTTCATCATAATTCTTTAAGGGCTAAAAATCTGTATTGTTTCAATAAAAATATAGTGTCCTTGCCACTACATTTATAAATAACAAAAGGAAAAGCAATACATGTTGATTAAACTGTTTTCTCCCATAATTATAAAAGAAGAAAACAGGGTACCAAAAGTCAAATCTCAATGACTTAAAATGCAGAGTTAACATCTGAAAAAAAAAATCCATTCTATTTTAATGCTAGTAATTATTATGTTAGTTTACAGACAGCATGTCAGGTCATGCACCTTGTATTTAAATTCATAAAGGCAGAAATTTGATTTAATGTGCATAATTACTAAGATATATAACAGTTCCTATCCCCGTCATCAGTTGTAATAATGTAGCATCAATGACCTGAATGCTATTGAAATATTTAATTATCATCACACATCTAAATGCCTGTCTGGTCATGTTGTATAGGATAGTGAAATCAAACATATTAAATAATTAATTTTATAAATGTTTCATCATATTCAATTGAAAATCATAAGAGTGTGCATTAAATAAAAATGTATGCTTTACTTTGAAATTTAGCTTCTGTTATGGATGGCATTGATTTGTTCATTGCAAACAATGCATTTCAGTAACAGTTTCAACATGTTCAAAATGTGCAACATAGACAGTTTTTGCAATGTAATTAGTTAGAAATTGAGGAAGCTTAATTTTAAAATTGAATTGTTCATGAAAATCTATTTCATACTCTCTATGGATTAGGCAGTCTCTCTTCATAAAATCTTCTATAGTTGTTTAAAGAAATTAAGTGTTGTTAATCAGAGGGAACATTATGGTTTGACACTTAATTTGAAAGCCCTGTCTTGAAGCTGTGAATGATTGCTTATAGAATTACATACACCAATGAGAACCCAAATAGGAAATCCATTTATGCTCCAAGTAGATTAACAGTATTGATGTAAGCCAGGGTGGTATTGTCTATCTTTTTGTAAATAATAGTTCATAAAAGTATATGTATATATAAATATAAATATGGATATATATTTTCTAAAATGTATAGTTTATTTTTAGTCTCATTTGATAGATTAAAAGTAGTAAAACAGCATTACAGTGAATTATCTAATTATTGTAGAAGGCAGATCAGTGATTTTAAAGTCATTTTTCTATGCCGTCAAGTCAGTCCTCTTGATTTAAGTACAGAGGTGAGCTATCAAGTTTTAAAGCTTAGCTTTAAAAAAAAAACGCAATGGTGAAACAGTCTCAATGCTGTTGGTAAACTATTTTTCATCTTTATTTAATCTACATTCATATGTTTTTCAGTGCCACCAGTGATCACAATGCCTCAGAAATCCTTTAATGCCACAGCGGAGAGAGGAGAAGAGATGACATTTTCCTGCAGGGCCTCAGGCTCTCCTGAGCCCACCATCTCCTGGTACAGGTAGGTTATGTACCCACACTCTCTTGCCTTGTGTCCATGGTCAGGCTTCTGGGAAAATACTTACAATCCCATCATTTTGTCTGGAAGGAAACCATTATTTTTGAATTTCATTTAAAAAATGATGAGGCTTTTGTTTCCAGTTCAGTTGGTTAAATTGTTGAAGAGAGCAACAGAGTGATTTAATACAAGTCAAAGGCTGCATGCATAGCTCTGGTCAGTCCAACAGGCATGTTTCTGGCTAAAATGGGTCCGGGAGCCCTGTGACTGATTCAGCCATTTTACAGTTACTACTAGAGAGTGCCCAGAAGTGAGAAGTCTAGTAAGATGCCACTGTTTATGCCCCTGGTGGCTGAGACAGTAACGAGTCGGCCAGCAACGTGGGAGACCTGGGTTCAATCCCTGAGCCGGAAAGATCCCTGAAGAAGGGAATGATTACCCACTCTAGTACTCTTGCCTGGAGAATCCCATGGACAGAGGAGCCTGGTGGGCTACAGTCCGGGTGATTGCAAAGAGTCAGACACAACTGAGCGATTAACCCACACAGACATAATTGTATATTTTGTTCACATACTATATTATGACAAATAAAGGTAATTTTCTAGAGCTAAATTATAATAAATTTAATGTTATATAAAGATGTTCAAATGAATAAAGTATTATAAATCTATTGTTTTATGATTCACTTTAATATAGTTTCTGAATTTTTAAATGTTATTTGATTTCTGTTAACAGCGAACAGATATGAAAATATTCCATTCTTTTAGGTTGTGACTCACGCTGTTAAAATGGAGACAATGAAACTTTAAAAATGGAGTCTTTTAAACATGTATTAGCTATTAATAAAGGTTACTACTGAAGCAGATCTATAAATATCATATGTTATAAATCATATGCTATAGAATAGCTTCAAGAAAACAATTAGAAAACAAGAAAAAAATATATTCAGGTTGACAAAAGTGCCCATAAGAATGATTAGGTTTTAAATAACATTTTAAGGAGAGTAATTGAAATACAAAATGATTTTTCATTACTTTCTGAGCATTTACTGATATTATCTTCAGGTTTCAAATCCTTATTTAACCACTTAACATAACAGGTAGCAATAAACAAGATATTTCTTCAAACAGGTGTTTTTATATTTTCTTTGCAGACAATAATTCCTTTTTGACACACTGTTAATATTTTTAAGGTGATTACACATCAGACATTAATACATTCACCCCAGATAATTATCATGTTTCTCAGAGACTTCTGGTTTCTAATGTGTGTCCTTAACAGTCAATATGAGATCTAACCACAGCAAGGAAAAGCTCTTGGATCATTCATTACAGTGAACAAATATCATTTTAGAATCTTATTCTCATCATTTTATCTTTCCGGAGAGACTACCTTTTGGTTTAGATTTTTTTCTTAAGTTAACATTAGTTCAAAATTCTCATATGTATGTGGAAATATAATAATCATGCAGTCTAGAATGAATCAGAGGCTACTATAACTGAATAACTTAACTCCATAGTTTTGCATCTCCATTTTTTTTTCATATGACATTAGTCTCATCATTTGAATGGAATAAAATAATAGATATTCTACTTGCTGGATATATATTATACAGTGGGGGAATTGGAATATATGGTACTATTCTTAGAGGAGGTAAAATTGGTATCAGAGGGAAGTTTTTACTGCGATGTATTTATCTGTGTATAGAAATGTTTGGACTTGCCCGGTGGTTCAGCGGTAAAGAATCCACCTGCAATACACGAGCCACAGGAGACACGGGTTTGATCCCTGTGTCGGGAAGATCCCCAGGAGGAGGGCATGGCAACCCATTCCCAGGATCCTTATCCCACGGACACAGGAGCCTGGTGGGCTACAGTCCATGGGGTTGCGAAGAGTTGGACATGACTGAGTGACTAACACTTTCACATACACATTATTTTTGTGAAAAAAAGTTCCAAAAAGCATTAGGGCAGCAGCACAGAGAGAAAAATCCAGACTGCCTGTTGCATAGTGATACTGTCTCCAAGAAGTGTGAGTGAAGTCAGTCAAGAAGGTAATTTAAGACCAAGCATTGAAGAAAAATAAGAATTTTTCACAAAGAAAACCAGAAGCACTTGGCGACATGAAAACCAAAGTGGGGATAAAAACAGAAACTCTGCATATCACTTTCTTAATTTCCGCTCCAATGTTTCTTCTTCTGAGAATCGTATACTTATTCTTTTGATAATACCATGTGGATTTTTATTGTTAGCTGTTTGAATTGGTGTATTCCATGGGTTTTCAAATATTAAAACAACCTTGCATTCTTTAGACTCAACCCACTTGTAATGTCTAATATGCTCTTAATCCCGCCAGAGTGTTTTTCATCATTCTACATTTTATGTCTGTAAGTTTGCTGGAAGCCTTTTTTGTTTGTTTTCTATTCTTCTCTTACCAAGCTCATATATGACTTCCTTCAGCATATAGAATGTATTTAATAGCTATTTAAATGATCTTGTCTACTAATTGTATCATCTGTGTCTTTTCTGAATCTTTTATACTAATTGATTTTTTTTAACTTATTATAAGTCATATTTTCCTACCTATTTACTATCCTGCCAATTTTTATAGGGTGCCAGGTAGAGAGTTTTATGTTTTCAGGTGCTAGATAGTTTCATTTTCTTTTACTTTAGCTTTGGATGCAGTTAAGGTACTTGGGAGAAGTCGATCTTCTTGAGATTTGCTTTAAAGCTCTTTTAGATGGATATGGAGAAACCTTTCAGTATAAGATTAATTTGGCTGCATTACTGAAGCAATATTCTTGTAAGGAGGCAATTTAATACCTTGTGTTTTAGGAGGTCTTTCTACTCTGGATCGAAGGAATGCAAATTCTTCCCGGTCTTTGGTGAGCTCCTGGTATTTCTGTGCTTTATTTATTCCAATGGTTCTTTCCTTAGTCTGGGGAAGCCTTACTTGCATACACTGTACCACAACCTTGTAAATCAAATACATTCCTATAAAATTTTTTAAGAAGATTGATTGGGAAAGCTCTGCAGATTCTTCAGTTCTCTCTTGTGCCTTCTCACATTTTTATTTTTTAAACCTGTAAATTCTAGTCACTTTAACTTCCCCCAGCTGAGAACTCTGTCTTCCACTACACTTCAGAGACCCTGTCTGGCTCCTTTGGGAGTTTGTTTATTTGTTTTTTTCCAGGCATGGACATTTTACAGAAATGCATATGGATAACAATGACTACTTTCTATATAATAGGTTTATTGGGAGAGACACAATTAGAATCATTACCTGAATTATTATTCTTTAATAGTATTTTTAAATTGAACTCTTTAAGGAAACATGATCTCTTTTTTAAAATTAATTTATTTATTTTAATTGGAGGCTAATTACTTTAAAATATTGCAATGATTTTTGCCATATATTGACATGAATCAGCCATGACTGATTAATTAATAATGAATTTATTATAATAGAAGATAAAAAGATGATGGCTGGAATACTCTGGGAATTTTCTTGGGTGTAAATGTGTCCCCATCCTGAACCACTCCCCCACCTCCCTCCCCATCCCATCCCTCAGGGTCATCCCAGTGCACCGGCCCTGAGCGCCCTGATCTTTGTAAATTGACTGCTTTAAATTCTTCAAGCATTCATGTCAAAGCCTAGATCATGGATTTTTCCCCAAGAAAATTCCCTGAGTATTCCAGCCATCATCTTTTTCTTTCTCTTCTGTTATGATAGGCCCCTCACTCCTCCCAGCACACACACAGTTATGAATAAATGCACTAATGGGATCTATATTACCCTCTATTACTGCCAGTCAGATTATGAACTCTTCAAATAAGTGGCTTTGTCCCACTCATCTGCTATATTTGAAACCTTTAGAACAGTATTTCACATAAAGTAGAGAAAAATCCCTTTATCATAAAAAACACTAGAATTTACTTAACTTGCTGCTTATAATGCTATGTAAACAGCCTTTTCATCTGTTGATTGAGAGGTGGGGAAACCATACTTAAATGTTTAGTTCTCTCATCTGTGAATGAGGATGGGAGGGAAAATGCACAGGTATGGGCTAATTGTATTTATCCAGGTGAATAAGAGAAGGAAAGTGAGTCACAAATTGTTAAAAGTTCTAATTAATGATGATACAAATGAATACTTCTTTACTGACTAGATTAAGAATTGGGGTGAAAACCCTATCTATACATAAAATTCTAGACAAAAATGCTGACATCTTGTCATTATTCATACTTGAAAATGTTTGATTACTGAAATTGTGAAAAAGCATAAAATTGCAGAACACTGTATACATTTGCCATTTAGTATTTGCCCAGTGTCGTATACCACTTGTGAATTTTTTGCAGATTTTATGGTATATTTAGACATGTCAATAAAAACTGGAAAAAGATGATATTGAGTCATAGAAAATAAAATTTATTTTAATATATGGCAGTACTTTCTAGAAAGCAGAACTAGAATTCACTAAAAAGATCATTTAGAATATCAGAAAAATATTGTTTCTTTCTAAGAAAATTTTTAATAACCTTTTTATACATTTCCTTTTTAATTTAAATTCATATAGACAGGTAAAACTCCCTACCCTTAAAGTGAAGTTGCTCAGTCATGTCTGATTCTTTGCGATCCTATGGACTGTAGCCTGCCAGGCTCCTCCGTTCATGGGATTCTCCAGGCAAGAATACCGGAGTGGGTAGCCTTTCCTTCTCCAGGGGATCTTCCCAACTCAGGGATTGAGCCAAGGTCTCCTGCATTGCGGACAGACTACTTACCGTCTGAGCTACCAAGGAAGTGACACCTAAAGGGAGACCCTAAATTGTTATACTTGTTGTTGTTGGCTAGTCACTAAGTCTTTTGCAACCCCTTGGACTGTAGCCCACCAGCCTCTTCTGTTCATGGGATTTCCCAGACAAGAATAGTTGAGTGAAAGTTGGTTGCCATTTCTTTCTCCAGGGGATCTTCCCAATGCAGGGATTGAACCTGCATCTCCTGCATTGAAGGTGGATTCTTTACCCTGAGCCACTGAGGAAGTCTATTGTGTCCCTGTAACCTAGTAAATAAATATATTTCATAGATAAGGGTTGACTCACCAGAATAAAGCTTTTTTATTTTTATTTTTGCTAATAATCAAGTGTGAAATTAACAAAAGTGCTTTTTACCTAAGATGCATGTCAAGATTTCAACACAACTCAAATGTTATTCTTGCCTCTAAAGTCAAAGCAACTTTCAAGTATAATGTTACTACTTATGCATTAAATTTTTTGAGCTAATAAATGTATAAGTTTAATTGGAATATAGCTTAATGTATCAATGACAGTAGCCATGAAGTGATTGACATTATAGGTCAAAATGCTAAAGGGATCTGATCCTGAAAAATGAACTCAGATTTATGAAGATCAACCTGTTTTCTTCTTTAGGAATGGCAAGTTCATTGAAGAAAATGAAAAGTACTCATTGAAAGGCAGCAATACAGAACTCACTGTCAGGAACATAATCAATAGTGATGGGGGCCCTTATGTCTGCAAAGCCACAAATAAGGCAGGAGAAGATGAAAAGCAGGTGCTTCTCCAAGTCTTTGGTAAGTATTATAGCATAGTAGTTAAAACTGTGATGTCTAGAGGAAAGTCTGAGTCAAATTGGGGAAGTCTCTGTCACTTATATGAGCTACTTATAATTAAATTAATTTCTAAACCTGTTTAGTTTCCTCATCTCTAAAGTATATTTTAAAATTGCAGCTACCAGATAGATTTATTTAGGAATTATATGAGATTACACATGTAAATTTTTATAAAATATTTGATGAACTCATAGCAGAGGCTGGAAAAAAATTTGTTAAAATTATACATAAAGAAATGTATTATATCTGTGGGTTGTTCTTCATAAATGTTTAAATGACACACGTTGGGTTCAGTTTTACTTTTAATATACTTCGAGAGTTCATTCAAAAGGCTATAATTAAGAACATTGACCTGTAACCATGATTAAATATTCCCTTTATTTTATTAAAAGGACATGCAATATAAATATCCTCCATATTAGAGCCATATTCCTTTCTTTACGGAACTTATAGAAAGTACAAAAATCAGTATATTTATTTTTTAATTATTGATTTAGCTTCTATTATATTTGTAAGAGGAAAAGATTTTGGTTGTGGATATTTAGAATATGATTATTCTATTTAAAAAGCAAACACTAAGAATTATATGCATTACTAATATTTAGTGTCCTTTCTCCATTTTTAACAATGTTGTTATCACAACACTTTCCCAACAATGAGAGGGGCAGGAAGGAAGGAGTACTTTGAAGAATAGAAGGGACCAGTGTTTGCATTTGGCAGATGCAGCAATACTGTTTAGACCAAAAAATGAATGGTGTACACCTCTGGACAAACCCTTGGCCAGTTGGTCCTTGAGCAGCTGTAATAGAAATATTTCCTGTACCAGGGAGATTTTCATAAAGCCTATATTCTAGTTAAGTAAGACAGACAGTAAAGAATATATACCAAAGTATATTAAAATAAAAATAAAATTAGAAAAATAATGTGCTCTAAGAAGAATGTGAAACCAGATCAGTCTAAAAAGGGCTATTATTTTGGAGATCATGATGTTGGAAAGTTGCTCAGAAGGGTTATGCTTAAATGTGTTTACAAAAATATCTTTAATGAGAAATCGGCAAAGCTATGAACCAGGAGAAAATTGTTCACATAGAACAAAGAGTAAATACATTATTTCTAATAATTCTCAAAATTATTAGAAATTATAGAAAGCACATAATTTATTCAAGTATTATTTCCCACTCAAGAAAATGTCCTTTTTAAAATGTGCAATCCTAAATATGACTTAGTATAAACTAAATTAATAATTAGAAATGATAGACTTTGAAATAATTTCAAAGGATAATCTTAATCTATCTCAATGAGCTCATATGAAATAGTGTTTAATTTTTTAAATTTAAGTGACACTGAGTAAGAACAAAGACAAAAGGTTTCTATTTTTTTTTTACCTTTTAAATAGAAAATAATGAATGAAAAATAATATGCTACTTGACTGTTGTAATTATTTTACATACTAACAGTGAACAGATTCCTATTGTGTTTGATACAAAATTGTGCATATATAGTGGAAATAAAGCTAAAACTGTTAAAAGTCAATGGAATAAACATTGAATTAAAAAAATTATATATATCCTGTTTCTGATATTAAGAATTTAATTTTCTAAGAAAAGAGCAAGATACATCTATTTCAAAATTGATTACATTTAATGATTTAAAAAAAAAACTTACTTGCTCTGAAGTAACAGGTGCTGACTTTTATCACTTTTATGTTAAAACAAATAAAAGCTTAAGAAATGCTAACAATACAGAGTTTAAAATTTTAAAACTCTTTGGCATATGTCAATTTCTTAAGGGACATGTTTTTAATATTAATATAATTTAAATTAGTAGACATGATGGTTTGGTTTTCTAGCTGTCATAACTATAAAGAAATAATTATCTCTTATGTCTAATAATATTAAAACAATCTAAGGGCAAAATAAATCAACTCTAATAAAAAAGATAAATAGTATGTATATATATTTACTTGTTAAGTATTTTAAGTATTATACATAGTTAGACTTACTATTGAATACTATGTATTCAGGGTACAGTCACTATTTACCCCCCTTTTGTGAAACTGTTTTTAAAGTTTAAGAGATAATCACTACAAAAGCAAATTTCATACACAGACACACACACAGTACACTTGTGGTTTTAAGAGGACATTTTAATTTTGTAGCTTTAAGAGGAAAAAATTAAATAGCTTTAGTTGACAAAATCTTGGAAAGAATTATATTTTTCTATTGGTTTCTAAACCACTTCAAATTATTTTTATAATCGTAATCTATGAACATTATTTTTAAAGCTCTTTCTCCTATAATTTGCAACTTTCCTGGCAAACCTATGAAGCAAGCATGACACTATAACCACTGCAACATGAATCATTTCATACTATGCTATTGTGTACTCAAATGCCCACTATGAATAATGATATTTTCTTTTAATACAGATCGAGTAATGTATATATTTTTTACAGTACAGCCTCACATAATACAGCTTAAAAATGAGACTACATATGAGAATGGTCAAGTCACACTCATATGTGAAGCAGAAGGGGAGCCTATTCCAGCAATCACCTGGAAAAGAGCAGTGGATGGCATCACTTTTTCTGAAGGTGATAAGGTAACAGCAATTTAATATACAGTGGTTTTCAAAAGCATTGTATGTGCAGTGTTTTCTATAAAATTAAATCTCATATTGGTCTCCAGTTTACCAAGTAACTTGTAGAAATGCAAGAATGATTTATTTTTTGAAAAGACGACTATCACAGTCAACCTGAAAGTAAATTCTTATGAGAAAAATGTCAAATTTTAATATTAAAGATGTTTCTCATTAAGACACAAAATCAAATTGTTAAGTTTTCCTACATGCAAACGTTTGGTATACACTGAATCCATAAAATACCTTACTGCAATTTCAGTTCCTCTACCTTGTACTATGAAAATGAAAATAATTTACATTCACAAAATCCTGGCTGCATTTAACTCTTAACTCTTTCATATTTTCTTTATGCATTAGGACAGTAGATTTCTGCTTTTATGTAATTTATGTTAATTAAATTGGCATTTTCACATATGTAAAAATAATGAGATTAAACTTACATATCTCTTTTCTTTCTCAGTGTTAAAGAGCAACCTCCTTTAAACCTCTTTCATTAATTTAAGTCAATTGCCATAGAAGAAAATGATTTCCAAAATATAAGTACCTTTGACTTAACAACATTGATAATAGTGGAAAATTGTGAAATCAGTTTATCCAAAATATGCTCTCTATTCTTCCAGCTCATCTTGCAGTTTTAACATGCTAACTCCATAAATTGACATAACAGGCTTCTCCCTGGCCATTTACTATTTATCTTTCGAAAGAATGTATTCCCGTACATCAGCTTTCTTTGTCTCATATTTTCCTCGTGATGGCATTTTTTAGACAGTATATCTCTTTTGGCAATAGTTACACTATTTTTATATACATATTTTATATATGCAAGTTGAAAATCAAATTTCTAAAATGTGAATGAAATTTGCATTCTTCTGGCAACCCAGAAAAACGGTATAGAGTTTGCTTTAATATTTTCTTAACAAATAAACACAGGTATTACTATGGTATATACCCAAATCTGAAAGGAGTTATATTTCCATAACATACTTTAAAACTGTCCAAAAATTAGATATATAAAACTGTGGATAGTTCTTATGTCAGTTTAGTACATTTCTTTGGAGAGGATCACTCAACAATGATTATCATGTTTGTAAGCCTTTATTAATCATACCTTCATATTCCTAACTCATATTTTCATTATTTTTTATAAATTTTCTGATAGGTCTCTTCTCAAACATAGCTTTGATTTTTCATTTAATTGATATTTTCTTATATGCATGCCAATAATGAGAGATTCATTATACTCACTTATTTTAGCCTTAAAACATTATCAAGTAACCAGAGACTTACTTCCAATCCTAGAGGAGGAGAGATTCTCGATTACTCTGAGTGATAAAGCCTGGTCTGTAATCTGTCCCCTGCCATCTCCCAGAGTTTGTCTGAATTCAGGTTCATTGAGCCAGACGCATCCTCTGCTGCCTTCACTAGAAATTAAGCCCACTCTACACTGAGTAAGAAGTAGTTGAAATGTAGAGCTGTGAATTCTGTTTTAAAGCGGAATTTTTCAAACTTCAGTCATTTGACCATCAGTTTCATTTCTTTTCCATATTTACATGCTGCCTGGACTGTCATACACTTAATTTTTTTCTTTAAATTAAATTAGGTTTTTATTTTAATTATAAGCAAAAAGATGTCACATTTTAAAATTCACATCAAAGTAAATATGATATAGAGTAAAATTTGTTTCAAAATTAGCCCTAAACTTAGCATGTGCACCTTCACTGGTACACATACCATAGTTTTAAAGCACTTCTTTTATTTCAAACTTGCATCAAATTAACATGATACAAAGTTTGGCTATAACATTTTGAGAACAAACCCTATTTGCCTTTCTTCTATTTGTGAGGTCAAGCACTTCCCTTCAATAAATAAATATGCTGCATTGTTAATTAATGGGTAGAAAGTTCACAAATCTAGTAGCAAAAACTCATTTAATCTGGTTCCCTTATAGATCAGTAGGTAAAGAATCCATCTGCAATGCAGGAGACCCCGGTTCTATCCCTGGGTTGGGAAGATGCACTGGAGAAGGGATAGGCTACCCACTCCAGTATTCTTGGGCTTCTCTTGTGGCTTAGCTGGTAAAGAATCTGCCTGCAATTCGGGAGACCTGGGTTTAATCCCTGCCTTGGGGAGATATTTCTATTTGTGAGATCAAGCACTTCCCTCCAGTAAATACATATACTACATTATTAATTAATGGGTAGAAAGTTCACAAATCTTAGTAGCAAAAACTCATTTAATTTCAGTCCTTAACACCAAATGATCCTTCAAAATGATGCCAGTAAACTCAATAAATAAAGTATAGTGGAACTTCCCTGACTGGTAGTTAAGACTCTGGGCTTCCAATGCAGGGTGTGTGGGTTTGATCCCTGGTCAGGACCTAAGATCTCACATGCCTGCAATGTGGCCAAAATAAATTTAAATTTGTTTTAAATTAGGGAAAAAAAATAGTGATTTATCTTCAAAAATAACATTTTTATTTTGCTGAAGTAAAATATGAAATGCTGGTCACCCTCTTGAGTTTAGATCAGCTCAAACTTTGTGATTAAAATAATACGATTATCTGTTCTTTTGCATTTATTTGAAAACTGTTCTTTTTTTTCTGTGTCAAAGAAAACAACCATACTTACTGATTCATTGTTAACTTTAGTTCTTTAAGTCCAGATTGCTTTATATTGCTTCACATAAATAGATGTATTTACACTGACATTTAAGATTTAAAAGAAACTTAATACAAAGTATAAAAAGTATACTTTAACAGTTGTCTTTATACTTATATGCAGAAGTCATAGTTGTACCAAAGTGTTTCTATTTTGATTGTAGAAAAGTGGCAAGCATTTTTCTCCATGAATTGAGGCACTGTGATCTGTACCATGCTTCAAATGTTCTTACAGAATAAAATACCAAGACAAAAGGGATTTCTAGAAACCAATAAAGAGAGACAATTATTTGATACAACCACTTGAATAATATGTTTTAAAATTTATATCAAATTAAATTCTTAGCATAAAGGTATTGATAGTTTTACTGTTGTGTTCATTATTATATTGTTTTATGCTCTAGGATATTATTTTATGAGTAGGTACAGCTTTGGACCTAAAGGAAACTTCTAGAATGGTTGTAAATGATTCATTTATGTAAACCACTTCTAATGGAGGGCAAAGGATAATGGAGTGAGTTTTTCACATTATATGAAAATCTCTACTAAAAATACTTAATTTTATATATATATAAAATATGAAGGTTATATTAGCCTTTTTGTATTTCCTCCTTTTTTCATTCTAAAGCAACTATGAGTTCTTGAAAATTACATTTAGTAGAATGTAAACAGTAAAATAATCTTTAAAGTAACAGAAATTTCCATTGCTAATATTTCCTGTACCAGTTGCCCAAGTTCATTTGACAACCATCAGCATCTTTTATCGAGGGCTTCTATGTTTCCATGTGCTATCCTATGGACAAAGAATACAGCAGTATAAAAAAAAGTTTTCTGCTTCATAGTGCACTCTTCAGGAGAGGAATCAAGGCATATTTAAAATTAGCAGTGTTTCACTTATGAATATGTAGTTCTGAAATGTGAAATTTCATATCAAAATAGAAATTTTAAGTATATAAGTGGACTTCTACAGCCTCCAGATGTAGCTTTGGCATATTTTTCTGTGCTATCACAGACTTAGTTCAGCTTGTTCTTCTGACAGGCCTCTGCACTGGTGAATTTTGGAAAGTATATCATCTTCAGAACACCTCCTTTAAATTTGTTTAGGCTGACGAAAACTGCTTACGTTCAGTTCAGTTCAGTCGCTCAGTCATGTCCGACTCTTTGCGACCCTACGAATCGCAGCAGCCAGGCCTCCCTGTCCATCACCAACTCCTGGAGTTTACTCAAACTCATGCCCATGGAGTCGGTGATGTCATCCATCCATCTCATCCTCTGTCATCCCCTTCTCCTCCTGCCCCCAATCCCTCCCAGCATCAGGGTCTTTTCCAATGAGTCAACTCTTCGCATGAGGTGGCCAGAGTACTGGAGTTTTTAGCTTCAGCATCAGTCCTTCCAATGAACACCTAGGACTTATCTCCTTCAGGATGGACTGGTTGGATCTCCTTGCAGTCCAAGGGACTCTCAAGAGTCTTCTGCAACACCACAGTTCAAAAGCATCATTTTTCGGTGCTCAGCTTTCTTCACAGTCCAACTCTCACATCCATACATGACCACTGGAAAAACCATAGCCTTCCAGTGGTCATGTATGGATGTGAGAGTTGGTTTACACCATTAACTTTTTTTAACTTTCTTTTTAAATCAGTCTAAGCAGTTTTCATTCCGAACTGTTAAAACTGCCTAGACTGATTTAAAAAGAAAGTTAAAAAAAGTTAATGGTGTAATTTGCAACACCTTTATATTATAGAAAACAACTTACGATTTTCAACTTCTTTTATCTTTTTTAATAAAATTTACAAAATGAGACTGCCAATACCACAATTACTGATTTAAGAAAGACAGCAGTGTTTCAAATATCTGCACTTTATTATAAAACTTTTAGTGAAATGAAAAACTGAAATATGGTGACATATTTATAACATCATCTTTAATAATAAAAGACAGTTTACAATTATTTTTAATGTACCTTTGTAAGTCGTTATACTTTGCAAAATTTTTACACCTGTATTTTTATAAGGAACTTTATTTATACTTCTTTACCAAATCCTGAAGATGCATTCTAGGGTGTAATTATAGGCAATTCTTAGTGCCTGATATTAAGATTGATAAAAGCAACAATAACAACAACTAGGGACAAATAAAACCAGCAAAAATGTTTTACTAAATAATTGAAAAAGCAATCATGATATGGCTGTTCAAATATTTTAAAGACAGCCATGTCCAGTTGAACTAGACATATTACTTACTGTAGGTGACTGTATCACAAAAAAGTGGATGGAAGTTATGAAATTGCAGAGATGATCCAAGG